CTGCCTGCACGCCCCTGCCGTCCGCCGCCCGCCGTCCGCCGCCCGCCGCCCGCCACCCGCCGCCCGCCGCCCGCCGCCCGCCGCCCGCCACCCGCCACCCGCCGCCCGCCGCCCGCCGCCCGCCACCCGCCGCCCGCCGCCTGCGTGCCCCCGCCGCCCGCCCATCCCGCGCACCGCTGCGTGCCCCTGCCGCCTGCGCGCCTCCGCCGCCCGCCCCCGCCGCCCGCCGCCTGCCCATCTGCGCACCGCACAGCCCGCCCGCCGCCCGCCACCCACTGCCCGCCGCCGCCCGCCGCCCAACGCCCGCCACCCGCCGCCTACCCATCCCGCGCACCGTTGCCCACAGCCCGCGCGCCACCCGCCGCCTGCCGCCCACCGCCCGCCGCCCGCCGCCTGCCCACGCGCACCGCTGCCCACAGCCTGTCCGCCGTCTGTGTGCCCCCGCCGCCCGCTGCCCGCCCATTCCGCGCGCACCGCTGCCCGCTTGTCCCGTCCACCGCCTGTGCACCTCCACCTGCGAATGTCCAGACAGGTGATGTCATGCCGTGCTCGCCCATCAATCATTCCCATGTCATACATCCCCCGTGCCGCCGCTGATCCTACCAAAACAGGTAACCCTTATCACTCAATCAAAAGTTGAAACATGAGCAAAAAAAAAGACTTCCGCCATGGTTTTCCGGAAGCGCTATAACTAGGACAGTCGCTACAGATTTAATCCACGTCCGATTCCTTTGAAAATATGCTCATTGGCATCACTCTGAAAATCCGCAGCGAATGGTGTCTTACGACTTTTGATGCTATCACCTAATTCCCAAATATGCTATACAGGGCCTACTGAAATTGGTTACCTTACACCATTTCGGATACCGAAGGACGAATTTGCTGAGTCTGGGCTGTGACTGGCGCTCTACACTTGCCAGGAAATTCCTGGGCAAAAGGCAGTCGACAGACCTCTCACGTGCACCTGGCGAATTCCAATTCCAGAAACTGAGAAACTTGGAAAGGCCGGACCAGGCATGTCTCACGTGCAGCCGGCGATTTATTAACACGGACATATGCCGCACATTACTGAAGATGGTTATGATCTGCCCCTGGCAACGAGACGGGCTCCCATGGCCAACGAGGCACTGCAGCCAGTCAATCTGCCCAATGGCCCCACGGTTCAAAACGGGTGCAGTGGCGAGCCTGAGCTTCGTGTGTGTACTTCCGTATACGCGTCCACTGGCAGCTGATACAAAACTAGCGGGGCAAACTCTTTTAGAAATGCGAGTACGACAACACTGCCACAACAGATGGGATGTACGTTAGGCATGTGTTAAGTATCGCACCAGAATGAGTGCGCTTGACAATGAATTGTCCTTGTCCGACCTCTCGGGGTTCTGATGTTCAGTGTTTTCAGATATCAGTGCATCATGTGTCCCCTTGTACGAAGTCCTTGTCCTCGTGCAGCTGGGAGTATTGCCATTGATTTGGCGTAGAAAAAGATAAATCCCGGGCCTGTGATGAATTCCGGAACTGGGAATCGAACCCCGAGCCACCGCGCACCCATGACTTTGAATTGGGCGGCATGAGAGGTCACGCAGTGATGCACCTAGGGCCCCTATTTTGAGGACCCGGACCAGATAGGGCCTATTTAGCCCTATTGCCCTATATATAGGGCGAAAAATAGGGCTCTATTTTCCCAAAAAGGAAATTATGTAGAGCAGGCAAACTATCTTCTAGAGTTCAGCTAGAGTGGTGGCCTAACACCAGCATTGACATTGAGAATGTTCTAGGCTAATTCCAGGCAACAGTGCTGCATCAGCGCTTCGAATTTGGTGGCCGCGTATGGCGCATCACTCCCATCAATAGTCTGCTGCTTCAAAGCTTCAATACTGGTGACTGGTGTTTATCGCATCCTTGTCACGTTGGTGCAGAGGTTGCGCAGAAGTGCGCAGAGCGATGACATGCGTGGATGATGCGGAAGATGCGCAAAAAGTCGGTGATGCATCAAAAGATGTGACTGATCCTGCAATTTGATAAAATAAGATACTAAGGATATAGGCCCTACCTAGGGCCATATCGCCGGCGGGCCCTTGGATAGGGCCCTACAATAGGGCTTGTAGGGCCATATTTCAGTAGGGCCCTATTGCCCATAGGTGCATCACTGGAGAGGTGACAATGCTACCCCTGCACCATTCCAGAGATATTATAATAGCTCTGAAGGACAAATTTGTAGGATAGTAAGACGAGAACAATGATGAAGGAGACAAAAACAAACGTCAAAAACGGAATTCTTTATGCTTCCGTTTAGTTGTTTGATTACATAAAATGCATTAGTGTTGTTCAAACCTTCCCTACTTCATCCCTACTTGGTCTCCTACTTGGCTCCTACTTCAAGTAGGGGACAAAGTAGGAAGCCCAAGTAGGGGACTTTTTGCAAGTAGGAGCATATGTCATCCCTTTTTCATAATATCCCCTACTCACGTTCCCTACTTCAGTGTGCCTTTGATCCCATGTAATTAGTCATGGCTGACAGCACTATGTCGGCACCATGCAGCCGCCCGCCGCCCATCACCTGTCCCGCCACCTGCCCGCTTGTCCCGCCCCACTGCTGTGTTCCGCCCTCCGCCCGCCATTCTGATCCCCTGCCCGCTGCCCGCTGCCCGCCGCCTGCCCGCCTCGCCGCCCGCCGCCTTCTGCCTGCCACCCGCCACCCACCGCTCTGTCCCACCGCCCACCTCTGTGTCCTGCCACCCGCCCGCCGCGTGTCCCGCCGCCCGCCGCCCGCCTCCCACCTCCCACCTCTCGTTTGCCCGCTGGCCGCCCGCCGCTTGCCCGCCCGCCGCCTGCTGCCCGCCGCCCGCCACACGCGCCGCTCGCCGTCTGTCCTGCCGCACTGCCGCACTGCCCACGCCGCCCACACCCTCTGTCTCTGTGCCCGCCGCCTGTCCCGCCGCCCACCGCTCTGTCCCGCTGCCGCTATGTTCTGCCACCCGCTGCTCTGTTCTGTCACCTGGCACCCACCGCCCGCCGCCCGCCTGCCCGCCTGCCCGCCCGCCGCCCGCCGCCTATCCCGCCGCCCGTCCCCGTCGCCTGCTACCGTCGCCCGCACTGCCCACATGCCGTCGTCGCCCAAGAGCGAGGAGCGGAGGGCCACGAGCGTGAAGTGCACGCAAGGAACACGTGAAGTACACGTGGCCGTGATCCAGAGTGTTGGCGGCTATGCTGATCTGCCGTGTAGCCTGCCGTGGGTGCCGAGACAATGCCGAAGTCTTATATAATGCACAAAGTAGGGGGAAAGGCCCCTACTTGCTCTCCTACTTGCAAAATCCTGAGTCAGGGCACCCCTACTTGGTCCCTACTTGACTCCCTACTTCCTTCCCTACTTGAAAACTTTGGTTGGGATCCCTGCCAAAAATCTGAAGTAGGGAACGAAGTAAGTAGGAGATTGATTAGGGAACAAGTAGGGCCAAGTTTGAACGTCATATCAGTGTCCCCGCGGTTCTTTGTCGTGTGGCTCAGGCAGGTACTTACTTGCATTTTATTTGGCGTGGATTTTGAATTTATGATTTGCACCGCAGCAGTTAGAAGGACATTCACAATGGTCCCATTGAAGCAGGCACTGTGCCTTCATAGACATGTGCTGGGCGCATCGCATCCAAAAAAGCGATCTTTGCATCTTAACAACGCGAGTCACTTTCAGCTTACTTACAACATTTCCCTGACTACAAGATTTATTAATTTTAATTGTGGAAGATTTCGTGCAGTTAGCTCGAAACGCAGGATCCGTGGCTGTGTTCAAAAAGATCATGATCATGTGATATGAAAACTCACCCAGCAGGTTTGTTATGGGTCACATGATATATTTCTTAAAGTAGTATATTGTAAAAATAATCCCTATTTACTTTACTTACCAACTCGTGCCGTGATGCCGTTCGGTCCAACCTCCGGATCTCACATGTGCCTGTATAGCGTCACGTGACCTCGCTCATTCTCTTACTGACTGGGGTATGTGGAGTCATAGTTCGATTGGTATATTGAGATTTCCCCGAAAGGGAATCACATACATCAGCCGCCTGAGCCGTGTACCACGCATCACGCCCTGCCCGTTGCCTTCCTCCGCATCTTACACCGTTGCCGGGGCTTGGATAGAATATTCAAATGATGTCTGATTTTTTTTTTTGACTTACTCTGCCTCATCCGGGTCGTGTGAATTTATGAAATCCGATACTGGCTGCCCGCTGTCGCCGGCAAGCCTTACAAAGCATTACATGTACTTACATAGATTGTGCCGATAACTTCAAAACATGTACTTTCTGAAGTCAATTGCTATATATTATGTATTGATCACATTCAAGAAGGATCCTCAAAAATAGACGAATTATCATTTTCCCAGATCTTTTGCTCACTTAGATTCGACTCTGCGCTGAGACTCACTGAGCAAATCATTCCTTTTGCACCAGAAGAAAGTAAAGCAAGTGAGATGTGCTTACAATAGCACAAGTGTTTAGGGCTGCTTAGGGACGATGGATGGAGGGACAACGTGCCGGAAGATCGGCTTAGCATCGGCGGCGACGGCGTGGCTGTGTTTTTCTTTCGGGGATATCTGAATATACCAATCGAACCATCCCTCGAGGTATGTGTGTGCTCGACATTTGTTATACTCATTAAATTTATCATCAAGTAGCGGAAGATTATATCATTTTTATCTTGCTCTGAATGACACCAGCAAAAGTCAAAAGTCTCGACTGCCGAAATCATATGGTTTATTTCATCTTATCAACTTACCCGATATGGTTTATCGCAGATCACGTGTTGATGGGCAGCCGAAAGTAAGTTTCGGCATTCAGCTGGGGGATTTTTCACTGTTGGCAGTGAGATCTGAAGCTCTGAAGTTTAATCAAAACACGCAGCCGTATAACTTTATCTCGAAACAGGCGTACAAAATAAAAGGTAAAGACTCACGTTGTCATGCATGTCATGTCTGCACTATAAAAAACTGGTCAAGCTTTGAAAAATTCCGGAACGGGGATTCGAACCCCGGGCTGCCGCGTATCACACCCCAATGCTTATGAGAGGCGGCAATGTTACCCCTACACCATTCCGGAGGTATTACAATGCTCCTGAAGGACAAATCTGGTGTGTCCGGGCTGTGACTGGCACGGCAAATAAGGATACGTCTCACGTGCGCCTGGCGAATTCAAATTTCCAGAAACTTAAAGAAAGGCCGCCAGGCACGTCTCGCGTGCAGCCGGCGAATTAGTGCTCCGGTTGATATTCATATTATACCGATGTTAAACCCGGCCGCACATTACTGAAGATAGCCTAGTAAGTTAACCAACGAGGCTCACCGCAGCTGGTCGGTCTGCCCAACCCCGGCCAATGACCCCACGGTTGAAAACCGGTGCAGTCGTGAGCCTGAGCTTCGTGTGCATACTTCCGTAGACATGTGCGGAATGTCCGGCTGATAGTTGAAAACTAGCGGGGCACATTCTTTTACAGAAGTAGCGAGTACCACAACAAGCAGCGACAGATGGGACGTACGTTAGGCGTTATTGCACCGGAATACGTGGACTCAACAGTAAATTATCCATATCCGACCTCTTGGGGTTCTATGTTCAGCGTTCAGATATCAGTGCTTCATGTGTCCCCCTTGTATGGTGCAGCTGTGAGTATTTGCCATTGATTTGGCATGGACTTCAATTGTGTAATACTTATGGGCTGCCCTTACCCTCGATTGTATCTAGGTGATAATGAAAACTGAGTACTGAGCGACGTTATCACGTCCGCACTAGAAAAAGGTAGATGTGATCCGTTATTCCGGAACGGGGAATTGAACCCCGTACTGCCGCGCAGCCATGACTTGAAGCGGCATGAGAGGCGGTAATGTTACCATACACCATTCCGGAGATATCACAGCAACTCTGAAGGACCTCTTTATGAGTTAGTTAAACGAGAACAATGACGAAGGAGACGAAAACAAACACAGAATTCTGTGTGCTTCCGCTCAGTTGTTCGAAATGCATTCATTATTCCAAGTGGGCGCCGACAGGGCATTCACATGGTGTGTCCGGGGCTGTGACTGAAGATAGGTAGCTACCCCTGGCAACGAGGCAATCAGTGCAACCAGTCGACCCGGCCAGGCGCCGGCCCGGCCTATGGCCTCACGGTTGAAAATGCAGTGAGCCTGAGCTTCGTGTGTAAAGTATAGTGTGTTACTTCCTGCGGAATGTCCGTCTGATACAATGTCCGGCGTAGTTACTCGATAATAAGTCGCTATTTTTGTATCAAGCGCTGACTAGCGGGGCACACTTCTTTTACAGAGCAGCGACGCACTTATTGCCACACCGTTCAGATATCAGTGTCCCCGCGGCTCTTTGTCGTGTGGCTGCAGGTCCTTGCATTTGATTTGGCGTGGATGTCAAATTTATGATTTGCGCCGCAGCAGCTACTTAGAAGGACATTCGCAATAATCCCATTGAAGCACTGGCAGGCACATAGTACATGTGCTGGGCGCATTACATCCAAAAAAGCGATCTTTGCATCTCAACACGCGAATCACTTTCAGCTTATTTACAACATTTCCCTGACTACAGGATTTATTAATTTCAATCATGGAGCAGTTAGCGTAGGATCCGTGGCTGTGCTCAAAGTTCATGATCATGTGATATAAAAAGGCTAAGAATCTCTTGGGTTCAGTCTCGGGTTCCCGCTCCAGAACTGCCATACGAGCTCGTCTCCAAGATATTCCTGCCTCTCCCGCGCCCGACATGAAACGAGCTCCGTTACAGGTCTCCCAGATGTGCGCTGAGCGCTCACTGGCAGCGGCGCGTGCAAGGTACGGTCTTCCCTTTACCACGCGACCTCACTCGACATCGCTGAACTTATCTGCACCGGCGGCTTGGTTGTTATTCTTTCTCGTCTCGCTTCCGTCTCGTAGCATACTCTGGATTCCTCTTGACGTGCAAGGTACAGCCTTCTCTTTACCACTCGACCTCACTGGAATTCTCTGCGTTGGCGGCTTGGTTGTTGGCCTGGTATGTCCACTTTTGATTCTTTGGTCTCATGCTGACTTCGTCTTCTCCCAGATCTCTTTTCAATGCCGCTCGGTGCGCCTTTGCCCTCCTCGATGCTTTCATCCTCGTCGATAGAAAGTGTACACTTCGTATGTGCTCCAAATAGTCGACCCCGACTTCGCTTTTGTTTGTCTGGTAGGTGTCTCCCTGGTGTGTTTTTATTTCATTGGACAGCAGGAGCTGCGCTCAGGCCATCGTATCTTAGCTCCTACATGTATTATAGTAGAAATATATTGATTTCTATGTGAATTACTACTTCGGAACGAACGCGTCGGAGCGATTGAAACTCTGCCCTGCCGACACGTCCTACCGATGCATTTTAAGCAATCGCGGGAATGCCTTCAGAGGCATCCGAGCGATGACAAAAAGCGACCTACTTACAATTGCTGCTATGTATCAGGGATGGGGTGGGATGACATCCTACCGATGCCTTCAGTGCGTCGCAGTGATGTCTTGGCGAGGCATCGAGCAGTGTTCTCACAGTGTGCTTTCAGATATCAATGCATCGTGTGTCCCCTTGTTAAGTATTGCCATTGATTTGACGTAAAAAGGGTGTAGAAAATGTCCATTCCGGAAGGGGGATTCGAACCCCGGGCTACCGCACACCTTAACTTTAGATTGACGGCATGAGAGGCGACGATGTTACCTCCACACCATTCCAGAGATATTAGATTGAATCTGAAGGACAGGATTGTAGGTTAGTAAAACGAGAACAATGTCGAAGGAGACGAAAACAAACGTCAAAAACGGAATTCTTTATGCTTCCGTTTAGCTGTTCGATTACATAAAAATGCATTGAGAGGGCGCCTACAGGGCATTCACAAGGTGTCTGGGCTGTATAAGCTACCCTGGCAACGTTACTAACCAGTCGATCTTGTACAAGTTGTAGCCCACAGCGCACCGTCGTGGTCAGAAGTGAACCCCTGTATCACATGACATAGATACGAGAGCACAGTTTGTCCTTAACAAATCTGGCCACCACCGGAAGACACAAACATCTCAAAAGAAGTTTTGTCAATTGTACCGTAACCTTGGCGATGGTAAAGACTCACGTTGTCATGTCTGCACTATAAAAAAACTGGTCAAGCTTTTGAAAAATTCCGGAACGGGGAATCGAACCCCGGGCTGCCGCGCACACTTTTTAAGAATCGTTGACACTATTATTATGAGAGGCGGTAATGTTACCCCTACACCATTCCGGAAGTACTACAATATTCCTGAAGGACAGATCTGGTGTGTGACTGGCGCGGCAAATAAAGATACATCTTCGTGGGCCTGGCGAATTCAAATTTCCAGAAACTTCAATGGAGAAACTTGAAAAAAGGCCGCCAGGCACGTCTCGCGTGCAGCGGGCGAATTAGTGCTCTAGTTAATATTAATATCCCGATGTTAAACCCGGCCGCACATTACCGAAGTTCATCCTGTGTCCCCAAGTTGTATGCGGTTGTGCAGATTTGCCGTGGATATGGCACGAATTTCGATTGTGTGATTTGGGCCGCCCGTACCTTCAGTTAGGTGATAATGAAAACTGAGTACTGAGCGACGTCGACGTTATCACATCCGCACCAGAAAAAGTTAGTGGTACCAGTCCAGATATTCGGGAACGGGGAATTGAACCCCGTGCTGCCGCACCCATGACTTCGATAGAATTCCGGCATGAGAGGCGGCAATGTTACCATACACCATTCCGGAGATATCACAGCAACGCTGAAGGACCTGTTTATAAGTTAGTAAAACGAGAACAATGACGAAGGACACGAAAACAACCGTCAAAAACAGAATTCTGTGTGTTTCCGCTCTGTTGTTCGATTATTCTAAGTGGGCGCCGACAGGGCATTCACATGGTGTGTTCGGGGCTGATAGGTATATGTATAAGCTATCCCTGTCAACGAGGCACCTCAGGCAATCACTATTGAGCTTAGTGTGTAAATATTAATTATAGTGTAGTTCTTCCTGCGGAATGTCCGGCGTAGGCCGCGTAGTTACTCGATAATAAGTCGCTATTTTTGTATCAAGCGCTGACTGGCGAGGCACATTCTTCTGCAGAAGCAGCGAGTACGACAACAAGCAGCGACGCGTGTCGTTCAGATGTCCCCGCTGCTCTTTGTCGTGTGGCAGCTGTGGCTGCAGGTCTTTGCATTTGATTTGGCGTGGATTTCGAGTTTATGATTTGCGCCGCAGCAGCTAGAAGGACATTCGCAGTGGTCCCATTGAGGAAACAAGCAGGCACTGTGCCTTCATAGTAAGTACATGTGCTGGGCGCATCACATCCAAAAAAGCGATCTTTTGCATCCCAACACGCGAATCACTTTCAGCTTATTTACAACATTTCCCTGTACAGAATTTACTACAGTAATTTTGATCTTGGAAGACTTCGTGCAGTCAGCTCGCGGCAACACAGGATCCGTGGCTGTGTTCAAAAAGATCATGATCATGTGATATGAAAACTTTCTCAGTCTCAAACACGCAACTCGGGTTCCCGCTCGCAGAACTGCCATACGAGCCCGTCTTATTCCTCCCTCTCCCGCGCCCGACATGAAACGAGCTCCGTTACAGGTTTCCCAGATGTGCGCTCACTGGCATACTGAGTCCTGACGCCGCAGTAGCACTTGCCACGCCCAAGCCAAGCCCAAGCTCTGGAGTTCCATGTATCTCGAATTTTGGACGCCAAAGTACGATGGCATCCCGATGCTATTTGAAGTTGACGTCCCTGGCGTGGAGGCTGTGGATCTGGTCTTGGGCTGCCATCTTGATGACCACGCAGCCGATCTCTTGGCCTTGTGCCACAGTGCCGGTGGTTCACTCGCGCCGGCCATTGTCCGCTATCGACTACTTTGGTGCTCCAAGGCCTGCGACGAGCTGCCGAAGCGAGCTCCCAGAGTACTTTCGGCGCGCTCAGCACTTGGATCAAATCCACCCAAGTCCCGATGGACGACTTTCTCGCGTTCAACCTCATAACCGGTCCGTTCCCCTTACTTCAAAGTCTGGGCATCCGCGTCAATGGACAAAATTGATCCAATCGATATCTCACCTCGGAGTGAGTCTAGTGAGCCAGAGCCCCTTTCTACTGCTCAGAAACTTCTTGTCGCGCATGAATTGCCACCTCATGCACCTTACGTTCGAAGTTTCGCTATCAAACACGCGGGCTTTACGCCTGCCTCACCGGTACATACCCCATCCCTCGTCTTTCTTTCTGGAGCTCCTTTTCCGCCTTGCGAGAGGGCGTCTACGCCGCGGCGCGCTTGCAGACACTACAGCGCGCGGACCTTGTGCATATCGACACCGCTCGCACGCCGATGTATGCACAATTTTTGGCGCTCCTCGGCGCACGGCCCACGCTTGCGGCCGCGGGATCGCAGATGTGGTCCCCGCACCGCACCCGCAAATCTGTCGCCGCATACAGCCGCCATCGCAGACCTCGAAACTCGCGGCGCGTCCCGTCTGAGATTCGTCGTGTGAGTCTTCACTTCTTCAGGTGGCCATGGAGCCTTGAACATTATGACACAAAGCCCGCCGGCGTTGGGTGCGTAGTCATTTATCAACTTGATATCTGTGGATCAACCGTGACCAGATAAATCTTTCGATGCGTCAACACGGCCTTGCGACTTGTCGCCCTTAAACCCTCGTTTGCTCGACAACAGAGCCTGATTCTGCACATGGCGCGTGTTCAGAGGGGCAACCATCTAAAGCCCCAAATATCATACAGCGAAAAATATATTCCGGCCCTATTTAAAGGTGCACCGTCTTGGCACCGTCCTCGTTACTCCCGCAGCGCCTAGATTCTGTCACAGCTTGCGAACTCTTTTAGTCTCTCCTTTGCACCCTCGTCACATCTCGTCTCTGTCGCGAGGCTTAATCTTATGATGACACTTTCTCTCAGACTGTTGATACTCATCTGCTGCCTCATGATTACTCAGGTAGTGCATTGAGTGTCATTAGATTCTGGTCATCGGAACCTCGGAATACCGTACAGCACAGAGGATGCCGCTCTGGTGAGTCATCCTATCTGGACTTCTATCGCCACGCAGAATAACTTATAAAGGCTGTCTCACCTCCCGGTATTCATCTGTGTTCCCTTCGCTGCGGGTGTAGTGGATTCACATATCACTAAAAGTGCAACTGCAACGATGTCGTCCGAATCGACCATCCACCATTTGGTCCTGCTCCCAGTCCCGGCGTATGGTGCGTCTTGTATATGTATACTGACGCGAAACGAAACGTGCATTCATTAACGCCTTAAACAGGCCACACACGTCCGTTTTGCGCGCTCGCAGCCCGCCTGGCTGCCGCGCGTAGCAGTATTGTCATCACCTTCCTGATGGCCCCGAACTGGCTGCAGAAAGTGCGCGCCGATATAGCAGCGCAGTTTCCCAGCGGGAGCGAAGCCATTAATCGCATCCGGTACGCCAATGCTGAAACAAATTGAAGCTGGATAGCTGACCCGTGGACAAGAATCGTGACGCTGTTTGATTCGCGCGCGGCCGATATATTCGAACTGATTCCACTGACTGCCAAACACTACCCCGCGGCATATGAAACTCTCCTGCAAGGGCGCGCCATCAGGTGTGCCAGCACGGGGACTGAGTTCCCTGTGGTCCCGGCGCCCGCCGCTGTCTTCCTCGACGTTCGTTCGTCTTTGATTTGTCCTGTGCAGGTGGTTGACTTACATTCGTGGCTAGATGTTCGCGTTCCAACAGCTTCACGCCACGCGGGCCCAAAGCGGCACTGCGGTCCCAGTCTTTTCAATCATGGCGTCTCCCGCGGCTGCCGCCATCAGGACTTTTGGCCCAGAAATGCTGGGAGGGTTGGGCGACCTTGGCGCGCGGATCGATAGAGAGGTGGCGCGGACGGGGAGGCCGGAAGAAGAGGTGGGCTCCCGGGTTCGTCCGTGTACTTTCTTCATATGCGTCCTGAATTGACCTCACGTATTGGCTGTATAACAGATTTTCCGCCAAACTGACGGCCGGGTCGTCGAGATACCCGGCCTCCCGCCGATGTATGACTACGAGAGTTTCCCTCAGGTGTGTTGACAGCCTTTGTTTTGCGAGCCGTCTGTGACATCGACGGGCCAGATAATTCTTGATGCTCCTATAGTACAATACATTCGCGGCGGCCGAGAGTGCGTGCCTCTGTGATTCCAGAGATGTGTAATCACACTGATCATCACAGGCTGTTCATGCAAGCCGACGGAGTCTTTCTTGCGAGTGCACCAGCGTACGATGGGGAGACGTTTGCTGCACTCGAAAGATGGATGAACAAGGACTTGAAAAAACCAATATACGCTGTTGGCCCACTCCTTCCGTTTGGATACGGTTCAGGACAAATGCAAGTGTCCTCGACTGATCCTCGGGAAATTGAAATCGCGACCTTCCTGGAGACAATGCGTTCGAAGTATGGGGACAAGTCCGTGCTGTTCGTGCGTCGCTCTTTTCTGCATTTGCTTTATGTTGCAATACCGTCCGGTGTTTTTAGATCTCTTTTGGAACCGTATTTTGGCCGAAATTGCATGAGCAAGTGGCGGACCTCATCGAAGTTCTAGTAGAAGAAAAGTGTCCCTTCGTAAGTTTCAGAAATATTCGCAGTAAATGTCACGTATAATGCTGCAGATCATATGTCATGCCTCTCCGTTGGCGTCTGTGCCGGAAGGATTGGCTGAGGAAATTAAAGCCTCTGGTTTGGGTCTAGCTACATCATGGGCCCCGCAGCAATTCATTCTAAACCATCCCGTGCGTCATTGAATTCTCTGTCTCAAAATAAAACAGTTGTCTCAAGTAGACATATTACACCTAGGCGACCGGCTGGTTCATGACCCACTGCGGGCATGGAGGGATCATTGAATCGCTTTGTAGCGGTGTTCCGATGTAAGCCCCTTGTCGCACCATTTGCGGCGATATTGTTTCTTACGCGGCACAGGATCTGCTGGCCGTTTGAAGCGGACCAGCCGGTCGCCGCCGCGCAGCTCACACTAAATCTGGACGTCGCGTTCCAGTTGCTGGAGGTGCGCACTGGTGCTGGACTGCGCCCGCTGCACAGAGGATACACTCCGACGGGCACACGTGCGGCCATGCGTGCGGAGATCCGACGCGTGCTTACAGAGTGTCGCGGGACGGTGGGTGTCGCGAAGAGGGAGAACGTGCAGAAAATTCAAGGTGGGCTGGCGCAAGCGTGGGAGGAAGGCGGGACCGCGCGCGCCGCTCTTCAG